AGGCTGAGGTAGGAGAATTGCTTGAACCTGGCAAGTGGAGGTTGCAGTGAGCCTAGATCATACCACTACACTCCAGTCTGGGCAACAGAGCGAGACTCCATCTAAAAACAAACAAACGAAAACAAGACAAACAAACAAAAAACCCAATCATCTGGCCCCCATGCCAACTCACGATGGCTGAACCCTGCACTGTGCTCTGCTTGTTTTTCTTTAAGAAATTCTGAACTAATTGCCCATTATCCTATCCACAGCCTCTAGAGTTGTGTGTAGCACATAGCACTCTGTTAATTGTCTCCTATTAGCAAACGGATTATTTTTCTGAAATTATCAAAGCCCCTATACCACTATATAAAAAGACACCAATTGTATTTCTTTCATATAGTGATTACGCGTCTAATACTTTAAAAAGGCCTATAGACTTCAACCTCACCACTGGTGCTTGGAACAGGGGCCCTGATGTGTAAAACTCCCCAGGGATAGTACAGAAGTCCCATGAATAGACCCTAGTTACTTACATTAAGCGCAGACATAGAAGACATCTACCGATCCGTTGCCCTGCATACCAGTTGTCCCACAGGGCTTTGTTAAGTATGCTCATATGTACATCTTAGAGTTATACTTTTAACAAGGTTTAGAAGAAAACAATGCTTGCTATACAATTCTTGGTTTTCCTTCCCCCCCTTTGTTATTTCATAATCATCACCCTACCTGGAATAAATAGGCCAGGGCCTTAGAGGAATGTAGCAATTCCGTTGAAGTTATGGGAAAGTGGCTGAAGGGCCTAAGTGGAAGATGGGGAGTTAGCAAATGGAAAGACACAATATTCCCTGTTAGCCTCCCAGCGGGCATCTTTCTCCATGCCTTACTAGCTTGTATGATGGGTAGAAGCTTATACGGAGGACAGGACAGAGAATTAGGTCACACCCATGATAACTGAAGATTGGCTTATTTATGAATGTCTTGCATGGTGCAAGTGTACCCCATAGGCTCAAACTGGACAGGGCTGTATTTTATCCTCTTAAACCTCCTTTTGCAGCTTTAGTGAAAGTTTTCAAAGGGAAATTGAAATGTTTAATTGTTAACTAGAAGACTCTTTTACATTTATTTTCATTCATTCAACACATACTAAGTGTATCAGTCTGTTCGGACACTGCTACGAAGAACTGCCTGAGACTGGGTAATTTACAGAGGAAAGAGATTTAACTGACTCACAATTCTACATGGCTAGAAAGGCCTAGGGAAACTTACAATCATGGCAGAAGGCAGAGGGGAAGCGAGCACGTCTTACATGGCAGCAGGAGAGAGAGAGAATGAAGGGGGAGGTGTGCCAGACTCATTAAACTAGCCAGGTGTGGAGGCTTTCACCTGTAGTCCCAGCTACTCAGGAGGCTGAGGTAAGAGAATTGGTTTTCCCGATGCTGTTCTCCTGAGAACTCCCTCACGATCACGAGAACAGCAGGGGGAAACCACCTCCCACCAGGTCCCTCCCACAACATGCAGGGATTACAATTCAAGATGAGATTTGGGTGGGGACACAAGACCAAACCATATCACTAAGCACCAGGGCATGCTCCTGAGTACAGAGATGCACTACATTTCCCAACCTCGTTTGTGGTGAGGTGTGACCAGGTGGATGAGTTCTTACCAGTAGCAGAGGAGCCTAAGCAATGCCAGCTACTTCTCTGCCCTCCCCTTAACACTGATCCTGCAGGTGGTGGCAATGCCCCCTGCAGTGTGGAAGCAGCATAAGGGGATGAACCTAAGTGGTTCTCTTGAGAGCAAGAAGTTCACTTCTTTGATCATCCAGCTGCTCTGTCTGGGGGCATCTTTGTCAAGGCCTTTGTACTTACATGGATGCCTAATAGCAGACTATGCACTCATGGAGTTCATAATCTAGACAGACAGTAAATACCAAAGATGATCAGGGAGGCCTCTTTGAGGAGGTGACATTTAGGATGAGACCTGAACAGTAAGGATTATTAGCCATGCTAAGATCTAGGCACTCAGACAGACAGAAAATGAAATGCAAAGGCCAAAATTGACTTGTGTCTGAGGAACAGAAGAAGAGTGATAGGGCTGGAATGCAGTGATGGGGTCAGAGTGGCACTGGGTGAGGGTGAGAGGTGGCAGAGGAGAGGTGGAGGCAGTTCTGAGTGATGTGAAGCCACTAGAGTGTCTTAAACTGGGTATAGCCGTGTGTTTGTAGAGAGAAAGAGGGAGAGAAGGAAAGAGATAGCATTTGATTTGATTTGCATGTTGAAGATTACCTTTGTCAACTGGCACAGAAAATAGATTGCAAGGACCAAGAATAGAAATGAGAAAAGTGAAGACATAATTGCAGTGGTTCAGTGAGCAATGATGGTGGCTTGGACCAGGATATTAGTAGAGGGGATGTGGGAAAGGGCTGGATTTAGGGATGTGTTTGGAGATAGTCAATGGATCTGGCTGACAGATAAGAAGTGCAGGGTGAAACAGTTCTTATCTTGAGCAAGTGGGCAGTGGTGGTATTTATTAAGCTGGGCAAGACTTGGGGGGGTTTTGGAAATGGGGGGACATCAACAGGCCAGGTTTTTGTTTTTGTTTTTGGAGATGGAGTCTCCCTCTGTTGCCCAGGCTGGAGTGCAGTGGCACAATCTTGGTTCACTGCAACCTCCGCCTCCCAGGTTGGAGCGATTCTCCTGCCTCAACCTCCTGAGTAGCTGGGATTACAGGTGTCCACCATCACGCCCAGCTAATTATTGCGTTTTTAGTAGAGATGGGTTTTCACTATGTTGGCCAGGCTGGTCTTGAGCTCCTGATCTCAGGTGATCCACCCACCTTGGACTCCCATAGTGCTGGGATTACAGGCATGAGCCACCCAGCCAAGAGGCCTGTTTTAAAACTGCTAAGCTTGAAAGGCCTGTTAGAGGCTGGCATGGGGAGTCTGAGGTTCAGGAGACATTACTGAGGAGTCTTTGGCAAATCAATGGAATTTAAAGCCATAAACCTAGATGTGTCCTCTCAGGCAAAGGGAAACAAGAGAAAAAGAGGAGAAGACCCAGGAAAAGGTGCCTAGCAGACATTTAAGCATCTTCTCACCAGCCTCTAGGATAAACAACACATCAGCATTTCTAGGGAAGCGGGGAAGAGCCTGCACTGTTGCTAATTCCAGTGGGCACCATGAGAATTCCTTTCTGTGAGTGCTGGTGCTGGCCTGCCTTGGCTCATGAGAGCTGTTTGTTAAATTTTCAGGAGTTGTGTGAGCCAGTTATTAAATACAGCTATTATTGTGGAAGTCAGGGTGGAGCATTTATAACACAGAGATCAGCAAATTTTCCATAGGAGGGTCTTTAAAACATCTTGAGAACCTATTTATCAGCACAGCACTGGTCTGTCTCCCCATACTTTGCATCCCGACTTAACAGAGGAATGGCATGTGATTCCCAGATGCCATCTGACTCACTTATGGGACCTCATTCTTACATAAGCTGACCCATAAGCACATCATTTACAGTATACAATGGCACAATCCTATCACCCGGGAACTCTTACAACATTGCAACCTCACCCAGCATTGCTTTCTTGACAGCACAAGTACACGGTAAGCAGCAGCGGGTCTTTGTTTGTTTGTTTGTTTTTAAATGGAGTCTCACTCTGTTGCCCAGGCTGGGGTACAGTGGCACAATCTCAGCTCACTGCAACCTCCACCTCCCGGGTTCGAGCAATTCTCCTGCTCAGCCTCCCGAGTAGCCGGGATTACAGGCATGTACCACCACGCCCCGTTAAGGGTTTTTTTTGGTTTGTTTTGGTATTTTTAGTAGAATCAGAGTTTCACCATGTTGACCAGGCCAATCTCAAACTCCTGACCTCAGGTGATTCACTGTCCTTGGCCTCCCAAATGGTTGGGATTACAGGCGTGAGCCACCATGCCTGGCCACGGTGGATCTCCAGCAGCCCTGGGAAAATGCTAAAAGGCTGGCTTGGAAACCCGAGTATCTGAATTTTTGTGGAATTAATTCTTATAAAGGTAGAATATTCTCTCTACTAAACAATCATCATAAAGGATCTGGGAACGTGGGAAGTTCCTTTCATCTGAGGCATGGGTGGAATCACTGAGGAAAATGCTTGGCCCTGCGAAAGCAAGCAGCGGGGACTGTAGTTACTAGGACATTCGAGACATCTCTCAAACCTTGGGGACACACAGCACCCCATGAAAGCAAGTTCGCTTTTTATAATCTTTCTTTCTTTTCCCTCCACTCAGTCTTGGTATTGTCTCTACCACACCTATTTCATTGACTCGAAGATGCGTTTTTCATGAAGGTGCAAATGGGTTGATTAGTTTATTCAGGAGTATTGACATGCTACAGTGCAGCGGAGCATGCAGCCAATCTCCCTGCACGCTTGAGTGGGCTGTGGTTACCCCACTGCCTCCAGCAGGAATCGAGTGCTGCTTGCCTCTGTGCTGGGGGGCTGGAGAGACTTGTCATTCCAGCATCACCCTAATTATGATTTTCAGAAGATGTAGCTGTCTAGATATAACGGGACCATCAAAGGTGCGTGGAGAGAGAGAAAGAGAGAGAGTGTGTGTCTGTGTCTGTGTCTGTGTCTGTGTGTGCGTGTGTGTGTGTGTAGATTAGCGGAGGGTACATTCCCAGAGGCTGGGCTTGAGAAAGAATGAAATGGAATTATTGCATTATTGCCTGTGCCAAGCTGAGGCTGCACATAGTAACAGACAGACATAGGCGCTCACATGCATATGTGTAAAACCCATGAATTTTCCTGAGTGAGGCTTTTCTTCAGAGATGAATTTAGTGAATCAGAAAATATCAAATCTGTTAAATAAAATCACCAAGGTTACTGAATCCAAAGCTTTGCTGCCTTTTTTCAGATGAGGAAACTGAGACCCAGAGAGGTTAAGTGATTGCCCTGAAGACACACAGCTAACCAGAGAAGAGATAGAAGATATAAGTTTCTGCCTTCCTGACTGCCAATTCTCTTAGGCAAGCTTCCCCAGGAATAAGGTGGCAGGTCTGAGCAAAATGCTAAAACCGTGGCTCCATTTTGTTCGTGCACATGTGTGTGTATATGAGCTGCTGGTGTGTGATGGGACTTTGTGGGGATATTCTCTCCCCGTTTCATGTTTTCACATCTCCCCCAAGACGGGAATGAAAAGGAAGGAAGAGCTGAAGCATTCCCTCAGGCAAGTAGATCTGTGGCAAACAAAGAGCCCACAGCCTGGTCTCCAAGGGGTCAGTCTGACTTCCTCTCTCAGAAGCATCCCAGGCTGTATTTTCATCTTCACCATGTTCCAGTCTTGCCTAATCTATAATAATGTGATTCCAAATGCATTCTAGCAAATGCAAGATGGAATGGGACTCCCCGGGCTGCTTCCAAACATCTGATCTGTGAAACCCGCAAGGAGCTGCAGTGAAAAGTTCACTGAAAAAAATATCGGACAGCTGCCTGTGTCCTGGGCTAGGGGCGAGGTTCTTCCTGGGTTGGTGGCTCTTGGTCATTTTTGTTGTCCTTAAAAAAGGGATGACGCATGAGGACTGGGAGGTTCACCTTTGCTCTCGTGTTTAATTGCTGCAAAAGCCACCTTGTGTTCTTTCCCAGAGGGGACGCTGACTCTCCAAGCCACCAGATCTGCTGTGTTTGGCTTCTCTCTACCTGCCCCAGGAGCGATCCCCGTCACCTCCCAATAATTCTGGGTCACTTCCATGCCTGGGTCTGTCTGGCTCCAGTACAGGAAGGCCCTCATGAAAGGAAGAAGGGCAGGAACTGGGATTTTTTTGTTCTTTCTTTGAATTTTGCATAAAATTCCCTCCCTAGCCACCTAATGAGAAAACATCCATCATCTATGTCTTTTCCCTGGAATGTCGGTGACCATCTCGAGCCAGTTTGTGGTCCTGCTCATCTGTATACAGCCAGGGCTTGTGAAATTGCTTTTCCCTCAGAAAAATATGTTCATTTCCACCTTCCTCAGATGGCCCTCACAAATGAAAGTGCTTTGTCATTTTTAATGCCCGGTGTTCCTTTCCTCCCCCACTGCCTCGGGTCACGATCCAGCCAATAAAACCCACAGGTATTTAAAAAAAAAACCAAAAACCACACCTCAAAAGCCCAGAGGACTACCGGACTCCACTGATGTCCCCTTGCGGGTTTTCCTTACACACAGAGCAAAAATGGCTGCAAGGGGGAGCTTCTTTCTATTTCCTAGGAATTTCCTTGGTCCTGCGCAGCATTTGGATGGACAGATACACAGAGACAGGGGAAGCGCTAAGCTCTAAGTAACAGACGCTCATCTTAAAAGGGAGTCACAAAGCCTGGCCCAGTCCCCTTGCCTGGCCGACTCTGATCATCCTGAGAATGAAGAGAGGGCCAAGTGCTTTGTAAAAACTGTAAAGTGCCTACAAATTCAAAGTTATTATTATTTCTAAAATGTCTCCAGCCTACGATTTGTCATAGACACCTATCATTCTGTTTAGATATTTGGGTAATTGTTCCTCATGCCAGAGGGAACAAAAGTCTTTCTTTGAAATTTGTGTGCATCTGCGTGGAGGCTTACACATAGAGAGAGCCCTGTTGTAACAAGGGTTTGACTCCACAGAGATTTGTAGATGCCAAAAGACTAACAATAACCTCCTCAGAAAAACAACTGCATCAAGCTTTGCACAGGCAAGTTAGTAAGATCAACTGATTCCAGAACTATAAAAGAGTCACCCTCTATGGATATGGGGTCAAAATACTAGTCCAGGAAAGGAAAAGCATAGATTTGTTGCCCAAAACTTATTTCAAAGCAGAGTCTTTGCAAAATAGGATCGTTTCCCACATATCCGCATCGGTCTTCATTTCTTTGTGATGGTTATTTAAATCCATATTAGTTTTAACTTTTTCTGCCTTTTCTTGATCACTCCATCCACTCAAACAGTTAAGAATCTGTAAACAAAGATTTAATTGAGCCCAAATGATCTAACTTCCAAAGGGACCCCTTGTTTCCTTGGGAAAACTTGAACGTCTTCATTGACTATGGAGAACCTTGATTCTCAAATTACCTGACATGAAGGCAACTTTGTTGTTGTTTTTGTTGCTAATATGTAATTACCCATGGCCTGATACTTTCGTAAAATACATAAAAGTTGAATTACTAGAAAAATAAAATGTTGCTTGAATATTGCAGTCATGTCAGATGGCTATAAAAGTCTTTAAACTCCTACTCTGAATGTCTATACTGTCCTTGTTGAGAATCCCTAACAAACGGTTCAAAGACCAGGAACAACCTGTAGACACGACTCTGAGTATCACTGAGGTTGAGACAACTGTCCTGCCATCTTACCCATGATGGCTCATGTTCCAGCTATGAAACTGCTCACTCCTTAACTTACAAGAGTTTGTCAATCCAATGTTTTAATAGCTTTTTAAAGCAGGGACAGGTCTGTATACAAAGCCTCCAAGCTAAGTAATCAATTGGTAACTGAGAGGGAGGGCTGTTAATGTCAATATGAGTTACACAAGGCATTGTCCAAGGATAAATCAGGAAGTTACCCTAATCAGGAACGTACAGCAGAGGGAAGGGAGGCCTTGGAGGTGGCTGTCATACATATGGAAAAAAAAAAAACTACAGAGAATAATTCTTAATCTATATTCCATCAGACAGTAGATTAAGGGGTAATAGAGATAGCTGACACCAGCTGGACTAAAGAACTGGAAGCAGAGGACACACATAGGAGTGTGCACAGGCACACAAACATGTGTGCATGTGTGTGCGTGCACGTGTGCGTGCATGTGTGTGCACATGTGTGTGCGGGTGCATGCATGTGTGGACACACGGTCCACCTGGCAGGCTGGCTGATTGGAGCTGAGTAAGGAAGGGTGGAAAAAAGGTTGCGGGAGCATTTTCAGAAAGGGGGTCCAATTTATATCCGTTGCAGTAATTGGTTTGTTTGTGTAGAGCTGGAAGAAGGGGCAGTGGGGGACGTGACTGGAGTGAAGCACCGAGGGCTGCGATTCACCCGCTTGATGAGTTGGAGAGAAATTGTTAGTAACCAAGACTAGTCCCGCAGGGGTTCATTAAGTGACTGGCCCTCCACTGTATCCTGTCATTTCCAACCTGGATGCATCAACATTAGCCAGCTTTGCGGTATGCAATTGTGCGTCTGCAAGGGTGTGTGTGAAGGCGCAGGAGCGTCTGCGGGCTGGGTCTGTGCGCACGTTTGTACCTTTTCTTGTGGATACAGCTAAGTTTTCTGTGGGAATTAGAATCAGGAAGGCCACATGCAATTTTTTTTTAAAGGCATAAAGCAAAAGGTGCTTTCTTACTGGAAACACAAATTTGCTTTGACACTTAAAAAGTACCGTGGAGTCGAACAATAGGAAAGCTAAGAAAGGGTCTGAACTGGGCGGGCAGGAGGGAGCCGAACATTGAAAGGCTGGCCGGTGGTGAACACGTCCAAATGGTAACTTCTTAAACCAGCCCTGAAAGGGACAGCGAGCAGCGTTTGTCTCTGGATTGTGAGGCCTGTCAGCCCCTGGGAGGTGGGAGCCCAGAAACTGGCAGTTCAGGCCAAGATCCAGGAAGGATAGATCGGCAAATCTGCCAAACGTGCAGTCTGCCCGCAACATCTGGGCGCTGGTGGCATTTGGAGTCACAGTTGCTCTGCTTTTGGATCTTGGGATTTTTTTTCCCCAGCAAAAATAAAAGAAAGACTCCTGTGGGGAGTGTTAAGGGTAGGAGTCCCTTTGGGAACCCCACAAATTCATATTTTAGAAAAGCACTAGGAAAAAAATCAAAAATGCTTTTTGCACCAGTGGGAACTCTAAGGATTCCGTCTCCTAAGTGCTCTGCCTGTCTGGTTTAGCCAAGAATCCAGCTTCAGGAGCTGGAGAAAAGCTAACACCATCGAAGGGAGGCCAGCCCCTCCCACCATCGAAGGGAGGCCAGCCCCTCCCACCCCCTCAACCCACTCAACTCAGTCCTGGAAAAGCCTGGCCCAAGGATCGTCCTTCAGGCGCAGGAGAGGGCTGGACTTCAGCCTCTATTCTGTGGTTTGTAATGGTTTCCTGGAATGAACCATCAAAATGTAAAACCTGCAAGACATGAAAATGACCATCTTTGAGTGCTTTTCCTACTTCCTAAAACAGGGACGCAGTCTGTCTGCAGCAAAGGAAAACTCGTAGGACTTCCTAGGATGCCTCTTGGCTCCAAGTTTGGGCTATGGGTCTGAATCTTCCATTATTAGTAGATTGTAAGAGGTAGCAGCCACAAAGAGACCATTAAATCATATCACCTACATGCTTGCAAATATAGAGATAGGCAGAGCTAACTGCCGTTCCTGTTGTTGGTATCGTTATTGTTAATAGAGGCCATCTGCTGACATTTCACATCTTACAAGTATCTTTTTTTTTTTTTTTTTTTTTGAGACGGAGTTTCGCTCTTGTTACCCAGGCTGGAGTGCAATGGCGCGATCTCGGCTCACCGCAACCTCCGCCTCCTGGGCTCAGGCAATTCTCTTGCCTCAGCCTCTGAAGTAGCTGGGATTACAGGCACGCGCCACCATGCCCAGCTAGTTTTTTGTATTTTTAGTAGAGATGGGGTTTCACCATGTTGACCAGGATGGTCTCGATCTCTCGACCTCGTGATCTACCCGCCTCGGCCTCCCAAAGTGCTGGGATTACAGGCTTGAGCCACCGCGCCCGGCCACAAGTATCTCATTTTTATCTTCATTATAAGCATATAAGAGAGAAAAGACGAGTACTATTATTATCCCCATTTTACACATAAGGACACTGAGTCTCTGAGTTCAGAACGTCCCCACGAACCCCAGACCCCACCTGAGCCCACAGCCACGCTCTTAGCAGCTTGTTTTGCAGCTCCTCCAAGTCCTGTTACCATTTCCTGTGTTTCCCAGGTGCTAGGCCCATTGGAAGCACTTTACATACATTATCTAATTATCTCATTCAGTCCTCAGAGCCACAAATCAAGGTAAGCAGACTGCCCAACCTCCAAGCACTTATGAGCTGGTTGTTCC